TACATACATACATACATACATACATACATACATACATACATACATACATACATACATACATACATACATACATACATACATACATACATACATACATACATACATACATACATACATACATACATACATACATGCATGCATGCATACATACATACATACATACATACATACATACATACATACATACATACATACATACATACATACATACATACATACATACATACATACATACATACATACATACACACACACACACATACATACACACACACACACACACACACACACACACACACACACACATAATTGTTACAAATCTTTAACACAACCACTGGAATGAAAAGAAGTGAGCAGTAGAGCTACCCATGAATCATGCAGTTGTAGCATCCAAGTCTCGCCAGCAGAAATGTTCACAAAATGACGCACTCGCCTTCTTCTTCCTTCTCACGTCTTTGTTCTGCCAAAAGAAAATAGCCAAAGTAAATGGCAACATTTATAAAGTCAATCTCCAGAATAACTCTTCCTCTATCGCTACATTTTCACAGACTGACATAATCCATGGCATTGTCAGTCAGTGCACTGAATAAATGAAGTACAGACAGAATTGACACTAGGATTTGAAAAATGAAAACAGGGCGGAAATAAGATTTATTGTATCCCATGGCAAAAAAAGCGCAAACTGACGTGTGCGCTGTTATATGAAGTAAAATGACTTTTTTAAATTTGCATAGAAAAATAGTTTAAGAATTACTGTTTGGTATTGTTAGATCTGAATTTAGAAGTCCTATAGTTATCCACTGCTGTACTCTCTTTCAAATGACTACCTACAGTTGAAGACCACCACTGGCTGGGTGATTCTGGAAATCAAGGGATGGAGAAAGAGGTGGCTTGGACGTTAATTTTTGCATGCCTTTTTTATCAACTGAAACGGTTGCCAGTCATTTCAGAAGTCAGAAAAGGTCTACTACTACTACTACTACTATTACTATTACTACTACTACTAGTACTACTACTACTACTACTACTGCTGCTGCTGCTGCTGCTGCTGCTGCTGCTCTGCTGCTACTACTACCACTACTACTACAACTACTACTACTACTACAACTACTACTACTACTACTACTACTACTACTTCTACTACAACTACTACTACTACTACTGCTGCTGCTGCTGCTGCTGCTGCTGCTGCTGCTGCTGCTGCTGCTACTACTACTACTACTACTACTAATGCTGCTGCTGCTGCTGCTGCTGCTGCTGCTGCTACTACTACTACTACTACTACTACTACTACTACTACTACTACTACTACTACTACTACTACTACTACTACTACTGCCACTTCTAATAATAATAATAATAATAATAATAATAATAATAATAATAATAACAGATCTAGTAATAATGATAATAATGATAATATTAATAATGATAATAATAATAATAATAATGATAATTATAATAATAACAATAATAATAATAATAATAATAACAATAATAATAATAATAATAATAATAACAATAATAATAATAATAATAATAATAATAGTAGTAGTAGTAGTAATAATGATAATAATAATAATAATAATAATAATAATAATAATAATAATAATAATAATAATAATAATAATAATAATAATAATAATAATAGTAATAATAGTAATAATAGTAATAATTATAATAATAATTGCTTTTATATAGCGATTATCCACGTTTTACGGCACGCTTTATGCCCTTTATTACTATTATTATAGTACCCCAGCAGACCTTAGCACACTGCGAAACCTTCTTGGCTTCCCGGGAAACATACAGTGCAAGCTGCGGAATGCACGCGCTCAAACACTGACAAGCTAACAAGATCTTTCGCTGTTTATAGCTGGATACTCATTCCCATCGGGTGAAGTAAGCAGACAATTTCTGTAAAGTGTCGTTCCCAGGGTACACAACGTCGGGTCACTGACGGGATTCGAACCCCCGACCTTGCGGTTGCGAGTCTGAGAGCCTAACCCCTTGACCACTCTTCTCCTCGACAATGAATGGCCATCTTGGACAGGTTCGAAAATAATTTCTTGTATTAACAAACTGGTCCTTTAAAAAAAATAATACCTCAGAGCTGAAGCAGTAATCACGTCATAATGTAATATTATACGTACCAAGGCTCTTCAACACCCCAACCCCCCCCCAACCCCTTCCTCCAACAATACCTCCACCCCCCACCATACACCCCCACCCCACCCCGTAGTTACATAACAACTGACGCCAGTCTTGAGCAGCGCGTTCACTCTTTTTTTAGATCTAGTTTAGTTTACCCTCGAGTCTCTGTGTCGCCAGCCTAAGTCTCTCTGTCTCCTGCCTCAGATTCTCCTGCTCTGACTCTACGCGGCGTTCCTCAGCCTCTTTGCGGCTCTCCATTGATCTTTGCTTGGAGGTCACATCGCCCTCCAGCGCGCAGAGAGCAAGCTTCTGATATAAGAGGACTCCGGTCCCGCACTCGTCCAGGCTGGCCTGAAGCTTCACTGCCTGCACCTCACCTGGAAATTGATAGAGTGAAGTGCCCTCTATTAATCATTATATGAACACGCTCCACAGAATAAAGAAATTGATAGAGTGAAGTGCCCTCTATTAATCATTATATGAACACGTTCCACAGAATAAAAAAATTGATAGAGTGAAGTGCCCTCTATTAATCATTATATGAACACGTTCCACAGAATAAAAAAATTGATAGAGTGAAGTGCCCTCTATTAATCATTATATGAACACGTTCCACAGAATAAAAAAATTGATAGAGTGAAGTGTCCTCTATTAATCATTATATGAACACGTTCCACAGAATAAAAACATTGATAGAGTGAAGTGTCCTCTATTAATCATTATATGAACACGTTCCACAGAATTAATAAACTGGTAGAGAGTGAAGTGCCCTCTATTAATCATTATATGAACACGCTCCACAGAATTAATAAACTGATAGAGAGTGAAGTGCCCTCTTTTTGGCATTATATGAACACTTCGCTACCCTAGAATTACAAAGTTATTTCTGCTCAGTGCCTAGTTTTTGAGAAATTTGACGTTAGAATTTGTGAGTCTCACAACATTTCAACCTTTTTCAAATGCAAATTTTCGAATATCTTGATAACGACTCCGAACGATCTTATGATTTTGATAGAGCTGATAGAAAATTTGGTTTCCGACCCATGGTCTTAGAAACTGAAAACGGCCAAAAATATCAGAGAGAACTTTATAATTCCAATGTAGCGACTTGCTGCCTGTGTGTCTTTCGTGCGGTGACCCAGAGCTGAGGGCTTCGTCTATCGTTATTGCTTTGGACAGCCACTATAGTCGTGACCAAGGTCGGATTAACGGGGATGGCATGGCCCAAGGGGGAATGGTCGTGGGCAACTCACCAAGAGAGGGCCTCCCACCGATATATAGAGTACATAGCATGCAGTCAGAGATAGACGCTGCATGAATTGGACTTCAGTGATATCATCTGCAACTTTGCCACACGAAAATCGAGAAAAGTGTCAAGACTGAAATGGTTATAACTCCATCCAATCTCTGATTCGAACCAGATCTTTTTCTTTCTAGCTTTACTTTACTGTTTCATTTTTTAAAGTAAATAATTTTAACTGTAAATAAATATGGTAATAACAACGTGTGTTCCTACCAATTGAACATGTTTGGTGTGTCCCGCGGGCTCATAGTATGACCTCAAGCAGTTGCGAGCGCCGTAAAACACTTAGCAGTAAAAATAAAAAGGACACGCCCCGTTGACAACTGCTGACCACACACCCAAACGTCGTGTCACCGAAACACGCTTGACATCATTTTGAGACAGAATATATTAAATTTACGGGCCTGCCATTTTACCAATCTTTCCCCATCTTACTTTTGAGCGAACATAGCTCCGAGATGAGACCACACAGTTTCCACCTATCAGAAGTGAAGGTGATCATGTCCAGTTTCTGGCGAAGCGCCAGCGTCTCAGCGTCGTATTTTTGGCACAGCTGAGGGGCATTGGCGCTGTGGAAAAAAACAACAAAACAAAATAAAACAAAACAAAGTTGACAAAGACGGAATGACATTGATTACATAACTACTCTCATCAAAATCGAGTTTTACTTTTTCTCTTCTGTCTCCCCATCATCACGATCATCATCATCATCATCATCATCATCATCATCATCATCATCATCATCAG